CTTCTCCTGACAGCCACGGAACATAACCCAATCTAGACCCCCAGCGCCTAAAAACCTGTCTGGAAAAAATTCAATACAACTTCCTTCCATATCTATCACCAAATCTCCACAGAAAATTCCCTCAACCCCTCAGCCACTAAACCTCCCTAGACATAACACTTTTCCCAATCCCTCAATATCCTTCACTCCTCCTCAAGTAATACTGAATGACCCTCCCACTATTCCCGACTGTTCTTATGAAACCTCCAATCTTCCCAGCTCTTACACTAACCCACCCACAATGACTTTTTCCCATATTTTAAAAACTAATACTACGGCCCATCTAACCCACATCACCCCCACCCTTCCCAACCTAAATTCCCCCCACCGAATTATCTTTTGATCATCAGGAAGTGGTGCTACCCAAAACCATGATACCCTCTAATGAGGCTTCTAAGAATAAAGAGATACAGGATGTGATGTCACCATAATCTATGATATGCTCAAACAAGGCTTCTAAGAACAAATTTGATGTTCTACAATCTAGTGACATTGAGCAAGACACACTCTCTACGGATACATCTTCATTCTCTAAAGAGGAGTTAATTGATAACTCTTCTAGCAAAGCCAACACTTCCACTCAATCCAAGTCCACTAGGGGGAAAGCAAAAAAACCCAAAACTCAAAAAATAGATGATCAATCCATCCATTGTAGCCTAGAATATCAGAGGTTTCTCCTCCTCTGATAAGGTGTTTTGCTGCAAACATTTAGGCCAATCTATGGGTCTTGACGTGCTTTGTATTCTGGAAAACAGGATCCACCTTTCAGCATTATCTGATTCTTTTTTCTTCAAGAACCACATGATCTTTGATAAGGAAGATAGTTGCAACAATTTTCATTGCTCCAATTCGAATAGAATTTGGATGAAATGGTCCAATGACAGGATTGCCTTCAATCCTTCTTTTATTTCCTCTTAGATGATTTCTGACATGGTTAATTTTACTTTATCTAAGCCTTTTCTCTTATCTATTATCTACGCCTCCAATGATCAAGATGAAAGAAAAAAACTTTGGGAGGATATTAGAGTGGTTGCTCCTTTGGATGATACCCCCTGAATTTTAATGGGGGATTTTAATTGTTGTAGATTTCCATCTAACAAGCTTGGGGGTAATGCTCTACATCAAAGTCAACTTCATGATTTCAATGCTTCTATTTTCAATTTGAAGCTCAAAGACCTTGCTTCAGTGGGTAATCCTTATACGTGGTTTAACCAAAGGTTGGATAATCCTATTCACATCAAGCTTGATTGTTTGCTTATTAATGATGAGTGGTTAACTTCTTTTCCCTACTCTCACTATGTGGTTAAAAGTCCTGCCTGCTCTGACCATTGCCCTATTGTTCTTCAACCTGGGGAAAAAGCTTCCTCTCCACACAGATTCCTTTACAAAAATTATTGGGCAATATTGATCAGTTCTGGCCAACTCTTTTCCACATCTTCTCTGCTAACTCTTATGGGCATCCTTTGATTGATTTCTATAATAAGCATAAACAGTTGAAGCTTGCTATTAAAAGAAACAAGTGGGCTAACTCCAACATGTTGGGTAGACATATGGAGGAGTTACAATAAAATCAAGAGTACTTCCTCAAAATCCTGAGTTCGGGTCATGATAATCCGGATATCACTCTTGCTCTCAAAAATGTCAATAATCAAGTCATGATTGCCAACTCCAATTGGACTTCTTGAGTTATGCAAAGGGACAAAATGAAATGGATGGCACATGATGAAGATGACTTAAAGTTTCTTTACTCTAAAATACAGATCAGAAAGAATTATAAAAATGGCTCTCTCACTTACCATTTCTACGGGATCATCAACCTATACTGATGTTGTTAATGCCACTATAAACCACTATCAAGCTCTTTATAACTCCCATACCCAACAACATGTGGATATGAGACTTTTTCCCCCTAGCAACCATATTCCAAGTGATTTGGCCGAGCTCTTCATCTTGCCTATAAACAATCTTGAAATCAAGAAGGCAATTTTCTTTAGAGCTTCTAGTTCTGCTCCAGGACCGGATGGGTTCAACTTTGATTTTTATCAGAAAACATGGCTTATTATAGGCCCCTCCCTTTGCAAAGCTATCAAGGCCTTCTTTCAAAATGGCTTCATGCCTAAGGTGATTAAGAACACAGCAATCACTCTTATTCCAAAGAAAAAGTCATGCTTCTTCCTTAGCAGATTTCAGGCCAATCTCACTCTGCAACACCATATATAAAATCATTGCCAAAATTTTGGCAAACAGACTCAAGCCCATTATGCCCATTATTATCAAAGGGAACCAGACTGAGTTTATTCATAAGAGAGTGTCCACTGACAACATTATTCTTGTCAAAGAATTGTTATTTCACTCCAGAACATCCTTCAAATTTAGAATCATGTGTGCCAAACTTGATTTAAAAAACGCTTTTGATAGTGTCTCTAGAGATTTTATATCTGCGAGACTCTTGCAAAAGGGATTTCCTAGCTTATTTATCAAATGGGTTGAAGCTTGTATTAAAGATGTCTGGTTTTCTCTTTACATAGACGGGGCTCTTGAAGGTTTCTTCCCTTCTACTGTTGGGGTTAGACAAGGGTGCCCCCTTAGCCCGTTTCTCTTTAGTGTGGTTATGGATGCTTTTTCTTGCCTATTGGATGGTAGTGACTTCTTTCAAGTTCCTCAGGTTGGTAATGTTCGTATTTCTCATCTTTTATATGCTGACGATCTTCTCATTTTTGGCAAAGCTGATATACAAAATAGTGATAAGTTGGTCCAGCTATTGGACATCTTTTCTGATGTTAATGGCCTCTACATAAATTATGATAAGAGCTCTATTATTCTCCCTCCGAATTGCCCCAGTGCTGATGCCATTTGCTCTTCTCTTAAAATTCCCAACCACTCTAAGTGCATTAAATATCTAGTCATTCTGATTTCCCCTAATAATCTTAAAGTGGCAGATTTTTCTGGATTGATGGAAGTTATTTGCCATAAATTGTCATGATAGAAGGCAAAATCGCTTTCCTTTCGCTTTCCCTTACTGGTCGTTTGCAGTATCTTCGCTTTACTATCTGGAATACAATAGCTTATTGGATTAGATGTGCGATTATACTTAAAATCATTTTAAGCAAATTGATAAACTCTGTCCAAAGTTTCTCTACTTTGGTGATACGTCCCTTAAAAAAAATTACATATGATTTTTTGGAAAAATACCTGCAAACCTAAACATCATGGTGGTTTGGGCATCCCATCTTTACAAGCTCTACAGTTTGGCTATAATTGTTCACTAATTATTAGAATGTATAACAACAAATACCTCCTTTCAAATTGGCTTTTGTCTAAATACATTTCTCCTTGGAAGCCACCCTATTCTAAAGCTTCTTCATTCTGGAAGTCTCTTTGTAACCATGCTATTAGTGCCAGATATGTTCAGGTTTACTGTTTTTCATAAATTCCCTGTATCTCTTTATTGGGATCATTGGATTGGGGGAAAAAAATTGGAGGAGCTACTGATTTTTCAACCTTACTGTGTATTTTTCCTCTTAACTCAACTTTGGATGTTTTACTGAATGAGGATGGATGGGTGATTCCCGTTGAACACTCCAATGTTATGCTTGAAATTATGCTACAGTTAATGGTGGATAACTCAACTTGCATTATTTGGAAGGAGGAGAATAATGCTCTTGGGCTTCATAAGTTTCTTAATTACTTCTATAGACACTTACCCGTGGTTAATTGGCATCATTTGGTTTGGCATAAAAAAACATGCTTTACATTTCTCTATTTTCTGCTGGATGGCTCTAACCAATGGACTAAAAACTGCAGATAATCTCAGGCTTAGAGGAATTTCTGTTAACCTCATTTGTGTTATGTGCAACTCTTGTCCAGAATCTACTGCACATTTAGTTTTTGAGTTTGATTTCACTTATAATATCATTATTAAATTGGTGCCTCTACTTAAGGATCATCTACTCAGGCCAAGCCTCTTCTAGGTTTTTGATTGCTTATCTGAGACCAATGCTAAGATACGTTCATTCTATTATCTTTTGGTTTGTTGCACTGTTTACATGATCTGGAAAGAAAGAAACGAAAGGAGATTCGGGAACTCATATGCATCAATTATTATGGTTTGCCATTTGTTTGAAGAGCAATGTCCATCAAAATCTTCAAATGGAAAAATTCTGAATTTCTGTATCACTTGTTGTAATGCTATTTTTTTGTTGAAGCTAGTTTTTGGGTGGAGCACGTTCATTATTATTACCTTGTCTTTCCCTCTGGCCCGAGATTTTGGTATTGTTGGCTTTGCAAAAACAGCTATTGCCTTTTTCTTATTCCTCTGGCTTGAGTTATTGGTATTGGTGGGATATGATGTGCGGATTGCCTCCCCTTGGACAGCAGAGTTTGTCCCGCACTCATTGCAGCTGCTCTCTACTTTGCAACCAGGGGAATGGTCTTCTTTTGTGACAATTCCTTTTGAACTGAGCCCTCCTGCTCTTCGGATAGAATTGTTCTGGTTTCATTTTTGTTAATTAGCTTTTGTATGTACAGCTGTTTACACATAGCCTCCTTTGACATCCTTTTTGGTTAATTTTTTATTGTTTGGTTTTTATTTCACATCTGTAACTAGTTTCTTTTAATAGAAATGAACTATACCCTCAATTTTTCTTAAAAAAGAAAAAAAAATCACCCTGAATGGGTGCCGAACGGTCACCATCCATAGCCACTCAATCGTCTTTTTCTATTTTTAGAAAGAAAATAAAGCCGGGTGCCCGACTCCCACCGCAATTCAATCCATCCTTTCTGCCAAACAAGTATTTCTCTTTTTAATTAAAATTAAAATATCAAAGAAGTGGAGAGAGATAGGGAGATCGGAACAATCAAAGAAGAAGATGCGGAGATGTGGAGATGCGGAGGTGAACTATTTTGATGCAGAAAAGGGAAGCAGCATAAAACAAAACGAGCCAGAAGATTAAAGATGTGAGATGAAACAGAAGGGACCGGCGGAATCTCCCTTCGACTTGATCGTGGCAACCCTCGTCGTCGGCGAGCTAGCCTTCTCTCTTGCTTCCGCTGTCATTGTCCTGCATTTCCAATTTCGTGCCTCCGCCTCCCCTTGTCGGCTCCGCTGCCTCCACGGCCTCAACTCCCTTTGGTCCATTCGCCTCCTCCTCGTCCTCCTCGCTTCCCTCCTCTCCCTCCTTGAACTCCTCCGTCTCCCACTCCTCCGCCACCAATTCCCGTCCTCTCTCTCCCCCCGTCTTTGCGCCGCCTACTCTTTCCTCTCCCCCTGCCTCGCCGAGCCCGCATTTTTTTCCACTCTCCTCTTTCTCCTCCGCGCCTCCATCCATCCCCACAATACCCCGACCTCCCTCTCCCTCCTCTCTGCCTCCGCTTCCGCCTTCGCAGCCTCCCTCCCCTTCCTCTTCCTCCAGACCCTTTTCCTGGTCCTCCCTAACTCTTTCCTCCTCAGCCTCGGCCTCCCTCCCTATTTCCTCGGCCACGCCGCCGCCGCTGCCGACGCCTTCTCCCAACGGCATGCCCGCGCTCACCGTCGCATCCCCTGCGGTGTATCACTTTTCTCCACAATACTCCTTGCCGCCATCGCAGCCGTCTACGTACCCCTCTTCATCTCCGCGATATGGAGCGCCGTTGCTATCGTCATCAACAAACGCCTCCGAATCCGCCTCTACGCCCTCTCCGCCACCGTAACAGCCGCCCTCTCAGTCCAGATAGCGGCGCGAGCCCTTGCTGCGCTGTGGGTCCCAACGTCCCCTGTCAGCCAGGCGCTGCACCTCGCCTCCTTCTTCGCACTGCTCTCCGCTGTCGTCGGTGGTGAGGCCATCCTCGTCGTCCAACCCGTCGTCGACTCGCTCACCGCCGTGGGTGCCAACGACAAACGCCTGCGCTCGTGCGGCCATCGCGCCGGGGATGGCATCGGCGGAGTTTAGCGATCGAGGAAGATTCATTGGAGTTTTGTTTAGTACTGTTTCAACGCTTTTTATTCTCCTCCTAAATAAAAATTATGTTTATTTTTTTTTTTTCCGATGTTATGTATATTTTTTAAGATGTTAATAGGTACGCATTTATGACAACTTGCTTAGCGTATGATATGATGATTGATTTGTAGATTAAGAAAGTTTTATTTTCACTCTGCATATGAAAAAGTCACCAGAATGAAATATTAAAGATGAGAAGCAAGCAAATCAAATAAAACTTAAAAATTATTTTTAAATCATATTTTCATATTTTACTATGAAGTATACACATCATCTCATAAAACGATTATTTTTAAAATAGTTTATTTTTAAGGACAAATAAATAGTAAAAATTAGTACTATTTATAGGCCTCTCTTATGGTTTATAGTACTCTGTAAATATTAATGAATTATCACATGCCTTTGTGTGCTCTCCATTACATAATAAGGAGTTTAACATGAATTTTATTATAAGGCATCCTTAAAAATTCAAGGACCTATATAAAATTTATCTGAGTAACTATTAAGGGTGTTCATAGCATCACCTCCCACTTCATGATGTGGGATTGATTAGACCGAAGTATATATGGTGTAACAATAAAAGTGATAGTGCTCGCATTTTGGAGAGTCTTGATAGATGTCTATTGAATTCTAAAGCTTTGGAGATGGTTCATCAGGCTTCAGTCCGTCATTTGGCCAGGATTGTTTCGGATCATTGTCCTATTGTTTTGAGGATCTTCAACATGAAGGATAATAAAAATAGATTTATGTGTGTTTGAGGATGTTTGGATTTCGTATCATGCTTCAACTGTAGTGTTGATTAAATCGTGGAACAAAGTAGTGGGAGGTGATGATATGAACGTCTTTAATAGAAAATTTTATAGAGTTTTAAGGGCTTTACATTTCTGGATCAAAGCCAAGCTTAAGAACTTATTAGAATTGAAGGAAACTTTGAAGAGAGAAATTGCTAAGCTTCAATTGGAGGAAGCTAAATGGCATTAATCTGTCCGATAACAACCTTATGTTGCTTAGATCCAAGATCAATGAATTAAATGCCATTTTTGCCTGTTTGAATACTTGGTGGAGACAAAGGGCTAAGATGAAGTGGGTTGAAGAAGGTTATTTAAATTCCAAATTGTTTCATGCTTTTGCTAATGGTAGGAGAAATGGTAATTTTATCAACCAAGTGAAGAATGCTGATGGTATTTTGGAGGAGGATCAATTGGCTATTGAAGATATCTTCTTCAATTTCTTCAACAACAAATGGAGGTATAGGAATATTATTGGTAAAGATGTGTGGCATGCTATTCTTCAATTCTAATATTCGAGTAAGATGTGTGCCAAATGGAAGGAGACTTTTGTTGTTCTCACTCCTAAAGTCAATAATCCCCTAATTCCTTCTAATTTCTAGCCTATCAGTCTTTGTTATCAACTTATAAAATCGTTGCCAAGATTTTATTTAGGGCTGCAAATGAACCGAGCCGAGTCGAGTATGTGAGTGTTTATGTTTGAGTTCGTTTATCATTAGCTTGTTCAGGTTTGGTTCGTGTTTGATTCGAGCTTTATTGTTTGTGTTCATATTTGCTTCGTTTAATTCAATGGTGTTCATGTTTGGTTCATGTTTAATGCTTATCGAGCTTTAAACAAACAAGCCTTAACGAGCTATGTTCATAAACATATTTAACAAACAATCTATTGAACAAACAAACATTAAATTTGTTCATGAACATTTTAAACAAACAATCTAACAAACATGGACAAATGTGAAATGTCTTTTATTTAGAAATTTAAATTTATAATAAAAGCACTTGTCTATTTAAAACGAAAATATGATTAATCTATATGAATATATTCTTAAATGATGTTTACCTATTGCATTTCTCTCCATTCAAGCTTTTATCAAGCTTTTTATTGAGCTTAATGTCGAGCTTGTTCACGAACTTCAAATGATGTTGTTCTAAAATACTCAAAATATTCCAAAAAATCTCCTATAAATATTAAAAAAAAATTTTTTGAGGGTGGGCATTTGCCCACCCTAAGACTAGGGTGGATCCGCCCATGGTCACCAGAATGAAATATTAAAGATGACAAGCAAGCAAATCAAATAAAACTTAAAAAGTATTTTTAAATTATATTTTTCATATTTTATTATCAAGTATCAACATCATCTAATAAAACGATTATTTTTAAAATAGTTTTTTTTAAGGAAAAATAAATAGTAAAAATTAGTATTATTTTTAGGCCTTTGTTATGGTTTATAGTACTCTATAAATATTAATGAATTATTACAAGCCTTTGTGTGCTCTCCGTTACATAACAAGGAGTTTAACATGAATTTTATTATAAGGCATACTTAGAAATTCAAGGACCTACATAAAATTTATCGAGTAACTATTAAGGATGTTCATAACATCAATTCCCACTTCATGATGTGGGATTGGTTGGACCGAAGTATACATGGTGTAACAATAAAGTGGTAGTGCTCGCATTTTGGAGAGTCTTGATAGATGTCTATTGAATTCTAAAGCTTTGGAGATGGTTCATTAGGCTTCAGTCTATCATTTGGTCAAGATTGCTTCGGATCATTGTCCTATTGTTTTGAGGATCTTCAATATGAAGGATAGTAAAAATAGATTTCTGCATTTTGAGGATGTTTGGATTTCATATCCTGCTTCGACTGCAATGGTGATTAAATCGTGGAACAAAGCAGTGGGAGGTGATGCTATGAACGTCCTTAACAGAAAATTTTATAGAGTTTAAGGGCTTAACATTTCTGGAGCAAAGCCAAGCTTAAGAACTTATTAGAATTGAAGGAAACTTTGAAGAGAGAAATTGCTAAGCTTCGATTGGAGGAAGCCAATGGCATTAATCTATCTGATAACAGCCTTTTGTTGCTTAGATCCAAGATCAATGAATTAAATGCCACTCTTGCCTGTTTGAATACTTGGTGGAGACAAAGGGCTAAGGTGAAGTGGGTTGAAGAAGGTGATTTAAATTCCAAATTGTTTCATGCTTTTTCTAATGGTAGGAGAAATGGTAATTTTATTAACCAAGTGAAGAATGCTGATGGTATTTTGGAGGAGGATCAATTGGCTATTGAAGATATCTTCTTTAATTTCTTCAATAACAATGGAGATATAGGAACTGTAATTTGAAAGAATGGCCTTCTTCTTTGCCTTCTTTAAGTAATGAAGATGTTAATCTTTTAAAAATGCTTTTTTTTTTTTTTTTTGAAGAAGTGGAACATGTTGTTAAGAACCTTGGTATGAATATTTCTCCAGGAAGGGATGGTATTACATATTCTTTTATAAAAGCATATTGGAATATTATTGGTAAATATGTGTGGCATGCTATTCTTCAATTCTAATCTTCGGGTAAGATGTGTTCCAAATGAAAGGAGACTTTTGTTGTTCTCATTCCTAAAGTCAATAATCCCCTAATTCCTTCTAATTTCCAGCCTATAAGTCTTTGTTTATCGACTTATAAAATTGTTGCCAAGATTTTATTAAATAGATTGATGAAGGTTATTGATAATTTGATTTCTGATGAACAAGTGACTTTCATTAAAGGCGAGACTTTATCGGATCATATTCTTCTTGCTCAAGAGCTCTTCTATAAATTTAGATATTCAAAGTTTAAAAAGGAATTGGTGGCAATTAAAGTTGATATGGAACAAGTCTATGATAATATGGCTTGGGCTACTCTTAGGCTGGTTTTGGAGTATTTTGGATTTTCTCCTAAGTTCTCTCACCTTTTGATGGAGTGTGTGGAAGATCCAAAGTTTTCGGTTATAATTAATGGAAAGAGTTCAAAATGGATTGAGGCTAAAAGTGATTTTTGACAATGTTGTCTGCTTTCCCCATATTTATTCATATTGTGCTCTCAACTCTTGTCTAATGGTTTTTTTAGAAAGGGAGGAATATGGGAATCAACGTTGTATCTCCTGCTTCGAGAATTTCTCATCTTCTATTTGCTGGTGATATTCTTATGTTTTCGGAAGTCAATATTAAGTATTTAACGAAGATTAAAGTTATTATCTCTAATTATTGTAGTTGGATTGGTCAGAGTGTCAATATCCAGAAATCTTTTATAATTTTTGGTAAATCTGTTAATCATAGTAATAGAAGAGCTATTTCTAATTTGTTTGGCTTTAAGGAGGTGAAAAAGATGTGTTATTTGGGTATTAAATTTTCTTTGAGAAGACTTGCTTCTTCTGATTTCCGTAATTTGTTGGAAAAAGCTATCTGTAAAATGAATGCGTGGAGTAAAAAATTCATATGGTTAGCGGGGAGACTGTTCTTTATTAAATCAGTTGTTATGTCTATTCCTGTTTTTTATATAATGCATTATTTAGTTCCTTTAAGCATCTTAAAAGGTATTGATAAGATGTGTAGGAATTTTCTTTCGAATAAGCATGGTGGTAACCATGGCTTGCATTATGTTGTGTGGAGCGAGCTTTGCAAGACTTTGAGCGCTGGAGGTAGAGGAGTTCATTCGGATGTTTCAATGGCTAGACCATTGAGAGCAAAATTCGTTTGGAATTTGCTTAATAAACTTGATTCTATCCTCAATAAGTCTTTAATTGCAATATATTGATTTGATATTTGGCAAAATAAGTCCAAAAGAAACTGCTTTATCACATGGAAAATTTTAAATAGTGGAGCTAAATCTCTTCGATCTTTGGTTAGGTGGAATATTGCTTAAGGCAATTCTATTAATACCTTAATAGAAAAATGGGTGTTCGACATATCTTTTGACAAAGGGCCAACTTTCATTGTTGTGTTGGATGGAGAATTTCCAAAGCTTGACAAATTTATTGTGGATGGTAATTGGAATATTGTTGAGCTTCCAAATTCTTTGGGAAGCCTTTGGTTGATACTATTATGCAAATCCAACTATATCCAAAGATGTTGAATGATCGACTAGAGCTAAAAAGGATTTTTTTTTTTGGTAAATCTATTGCAGCAATGGCATTGGGTATTGTTGTTGAACAACTACCTGAGGCTAAGTATTGGAGATTAATGAAGAAGTTGAAATTGCCACCTCGTTTGGAAATCTTCTGGTGGAGGTTATGGAACAATGCAATACCCAGATCAGATTTCTTATATGTCAGAAGGCTTTTGGATTACAACTACTGTCTGAGAGGGTGTAATACAACATAGATTCCTGAACATGTTGCGGTTAATTGCTCTAAACTCATTCAAGCTATTGCATTGGTTAATAAATGGGCTTTTCATGTTCCTATGTTCTCTTCAATTCTGGATTGTAAAAATAAATTGAAGATGTTATCTAAAGGAAATCCTTTTATCACAAATCTTTATTATTCCTTGGTCTTCTTCTCTTGGAAAAGTAGGAACAGTGTTATTCACGGTGGAAGGGAAATTGGTTTGGCTTCCATTGTCTCAAATGCAATTAGTTTTGCATCTATTTCTTTGAAGTTTAATCTTTATTAGGATCAATGGGATGTTAACCAGCTTTCTCAACTACTTTTACATTCTTGGCACCCTCCTCCACCCAAATGGATTAAAGTCAATATTGATGCTACTGTATTGCGTTCAAACAAGGCTAGTGTGGGAGGAGTTTTTAGAGACCATAAAGGGAGATTTCTCCTTGCTTTTGGGTTTAAATGTATTCATTGGGACAGTGGATATTTGTAACTAGTTGCTTTCCAGTCTTTAGAGAGAGTAATCCAAAAGTGAATGTTTGAAGCAAGAGGCATCATTATTGAAGGGAATAATATCAATATTATCAAATATTTGCAAGGCTCAGTTGGCAAGGTGGCTCCGAATATTCATATTGGCGAGGTGGAAGACTTGTCCTCTCTTAAAGATTTTGATAATCTTTATTTCATTTTTCAAATAGAAGTTGTAAAATGTTAGCTGATTTTTGTGCTAACTTTGCTTTAGATGGTGATTTTTTTTTTTTTTGGATGAGCTAAGTTGTAATAATGTTCCTCCTTTTTTTTTTTTTTTGTTAAAGGAGGATTGTGATAGGCTTTCTATCACTTAGTAGGTTGTAATAGGTTTGTTTTTTCTTTAATGCTAATTGCAGTTTCTCAAAAAAAGAAAATCAGATCATCATTAAAAAAACAATCACACGGCACCCACTCATTCATGGAGGCCACATCAAAGCCTAATCACAAGCATGACACACCCACACATTCTTGGAATCACATCAACCCCAAATCACTTGGTCACCGACTTTTCTCTCCTTTCTTGCTGCTAATGGCATTTTTGTTATCAAAAGTTTCCACTTGAGACTTTCGACAAAAAAATACTTATGAACTATAGCCAAACAAGTCAGCAATAAAAGCTTATTTCCTTCTGGATGAAATGGAAAAAGCAAGTTGCAGCCTGCAAATTTATTTATGCATGGCTTACTGTTCTCTTGTATCCGCTAATTTTCTGTTCCATAGAGACTATAGACAAACTAAAACAATTTTGTTTAGATTAATTTCACCATTCGTGAAACAACAGCATAAACAAATGCTTCGAATACATAGTGTAATTTATCCAGGTTACAGAGGCATCCTGCTCTTATTGATGATATAATTCAGGCTTCAGCATAATCAATTCAACACTCCCAAAGGAGAATTGATGAACAAGAAGTTCAATTATATATTCATGGAAGAGATGGAAAGAAATAGTCATCAAATAACTAAAATCTAGTTCTGAAAACGGTGATCAATATTTCATACCGGACTTCCATTTTCCATAGGATTCAGGAAATTCTCCACTCGCAATGGCTTCTTGTAGGACTGCAGCAGGAGAGAGGAGCAGACAACGCTAATTGATGAGAAGGCCATGCAAGCCCCAGCAAGCCAAGGTGGCAGGCGAATTCCAGTGAAGGGGAATAAGGCGCCAGCAGCAACAGGCATGGCGAGTATATTGTATCCAAGGGCCCAAACATAGTTCATTCTAATCCTAGAGAGAGTCTTCAAGGAGAGATCAATAGCTGTGACCACATCCTCTAAATTGCTTTTCATAAGAACAACATCAGCAGCTTCAATTGCAACATCAGTTCCAGCTCCAATTGCCATACCAACATCAGCTGCTGCAAGAGCAAGAGAGTCATTGATTCCATCGCCCACCATCGCTACAGTCAATCCTTTCCCCTTGAAACAAAGTAAAACACTTTAAACATTCGTATTTGAAGGATTAATCAATAATAGTCGGGGGCAGAACCTGCCTTAATTTTTAGGGGTGGCAAACTTGTAACTATCAGGGTTGCAAGGGGGAAAGCCCCCTGGCGGAGTTCAACAGGTATGACTAATATGGGGGTTTCCGGGAGCAGCACCCCCCGAATTGTAAGGATATTTTTGAAATTGAAATTAATAAATAAAATGATGGATGCTCTTTATTATTTGTTGGTGGCAATTGCTTAAAGATCATAGTATTTTAAAAATTTTAGGGGGGGGGGGGGGAATTGCTTAAAAATCATTGTAATAAAGACTAAAATACTAAGGGAGTTCTTCCCCTGAATTAATAGTTAGCATTCACCTGCAAATCTTTAATTTTTTCAGCCTTGCCAACTGGGTCAGTCTCAGCAAACACTGTAGTGATGCCAACCTCCCGTGCAATGGCTGTAGCGGTAGCCTGATTGTCGCCAGTTATCATAATGCTTGTTATGCCCATTGAGGCAAGGAAGGAAACCACTTGGCCTGCCTCAGGTTTCAATGGGTCGGACACGGCAAGTGCTCCAGAAACTTCACCATCAACGGCAACCAACACACAGGTTCTTGCTAAATTCTCAGTCTCCGTCAGATATCTTTCTACCTCTCTAGAAATTAGAACGTTGGAAGCAAGCATGAGCCTTTTGTTCCCAACTAGTACTGCTTTTCCGGAAACAATGGCACTGACCCCAGCACCAGGATGCACCTTGAAATCTTTGGCATCCATTACACGGTCGTTGATGGAATTATATTTAGAATTGAGCTTCTTGGCAGAGTCCACCACGGCCTTCGATATAGGGTGCTCGCTATTAGCCTAGTGTTAAGAGAAGTGGTAAGTGTTAGGAATGAGATTGCTTCTACCCAAAAGTAAGTACGCTGAATCACAAAATCATGTAAAAAAGATAAATCAAGAACTACAAAGTAGAACACTAATGTTTACATTGTTCTGGTTAAGTATGAAAAAATATCACTTTATGCTTGAGATCTTAGCAAGGCAAGATGTTATTGTGCTGGGTAGAGCCAACGTCACCAACCTTTGCTAGAATAGGGAGTTCGACTTCAAAGACACTCGAGATGATGATGAAGGAGACAAGAAAGATAAGATGAGTAACTGTTAACTTATATTTTTGTTTTTCATTTTCATTTGTAGAAGTCCAGTGAGTTCATATTCACCGGTGAAATGTACTGGAATATTGCACGAATAAAATTTTGATTTTTCTAAGTTCCTTATATAACGCGTTAATGAATTGTTGACCACAAAATGAACTCCGGAAGCTTAGTCGAAGGTTCACAATGAAAGCATAAATCAAAAGTCGTAATGTTGCACAAAAGTGGCCCGAAACACATTGACCAAAAACCCAAATCATTGAAAAAGCATCTGTTCACAAAACAAACAGTGCTAGTGCATTCGGGGCAACTAAAACAGCTACGATATACACTAGGGGTGTCAAAATATGACCCAACAAACAAGCCCGACGCGAAAAGTATGGGTTCGAATTTTAATAAACAAATCTGGTTCCGCTTGAATTTTTTATGAGTTGACCAATGAACTTGCTTTTGACCCGAAAATGATGCATTTAATATCTTTTTTCATTAATGTTTTTTACTTGTAAGTACAATCTTCTTATTTTTTATGAAATATCTAAGTTATACAGTTAATAAGTTATTTAAAAAAATTTAATTCAAAACAGGTTAATGGGTCGGATTTCGATTATTCGGGTTGCTAACTGGTCGAGTTCGGGTTGTTCATTTTGAACCATTTATTAAACAGGCCGGGTTCTAGTTGATTAGATTTAGGTCGGGTCAATTTCAGGTTGGATCTGAATCTGAACCATCAACCCGTTTTTACATCCCTAATCTACACCTATATTATTCAGGGTCATCGATTAGTGAAAATAAAAATTATGTGCACTCAGATCAAGGTAGAATCAACGTGTGCAAATGATGATGAATTAGAGATCGAATCGATATATGATTAATATAAGTAATTTTTTTAATTAAAAAAAAATAGACTTGCATAATATAAATTTTATATTTAAAATTTAAAAAAAAAAATCTTAAAACTAGATAATCTAACCTTAATTTTTCCTCAATACCTCTAGGTTCAGCAATTGATTTAACCTATTTTGACCCAAATCGAAAAAAGGTAAATGCTTTAACTTTTGTATTTCGAACTCTTTTGTATGTATTTCGAAATGATATGTGTCTATAAAAAAGGTCTACATGTGTTTTGGAGTGAGTTACAGGGATTTGAATGCATATTGGTGAAATCTGAAATTTTTCTTTTGGAGCGCCTAGGTGTTGGGTGTTTTGGCACCTAGGCGATTAACAGTGGCACCTAAATGTTGAACAATTGCACCTTGGTGCTATGCTCTCAGATTTTTGGAATTTGAACTCGCGTCTCGGCAGTCAAACAGTGGCGTCTAGGCGTTGTGTTATTTTTGAACTTATATATAATATTTTTCCATTATTCCATAAACCCAATCATTTTCCAGGCGAAGGACAGAGATAAGGAGAGGGTTATTGAGAGTGAAAGAAGGATTTTTTGGGCCGACTCGGGTATAGCCGTCGGCCCAGTTCTAAAAGTTATTCAGATAAAGGTAAGTCACATTATATCTATCCTAGTTTTCAAAAATACAAGGATTCTCGAATTTTCTAATTAAATTTATATTTTTATTACCAAAAAATAATGATAACTTTTTATGAGTAAAATTTTCATTGCATAACTTTTTATATATTATAAAGAACATTTTGAATATTTTCTAAAAATTTTACACCAACATTTTTGGAATTGTAGTTTTTATTGAATAAAAAATAATTCGGATTCCGAAAAATAGTATCATAATACAATTAAAGTCTTAAAATGATATTTTACATAATCTCTAATAATTTGATTATATTTTGAAACTGTGAATTTTTATTCAGTAGGAATTTCTATTGCCTATTGTTATAGAAAACTATGCATTTCTAACATGAGCTTCATTATGTTTTAAGTGTTACACTGTGCTGAAATATGTATTTATGTGATTGAATTATGTGCTTTATTGGTTGAATTGATAAGTTCTGAAAAATGTTATTGTAAAACAAGCAAGATATTTTAGTGGTTAAAAAGTCATAATCTGGTGCCTACGGATATGTTCTGATGGAAAAATATTATGTTATGATGCCTACGAGCATATTTTATTTCTATAAGCACATTGGGGGTCATAAAAGGCCAGAATCTTTTGAGATTTTGTCTGGGATTGGAAAACTCAGTTTGTGATCTGAATTTTAGTTTATTTGCCTTCTTAGTATTATTACTTCTGTCTTTAGAAAATTGTTATACACTTATTGCCTTGCTCAACATAATGATTTATAATACTGCATTTAAATATTCTAAAAAATATTTAATAAAAGAAATATTTGAAAATTTAGATCTGTGTTTGTTTACTAAGCTATTTTAGTTCATTGTGCTTTTGTATTTTATTTTCAGGGTCTGAGAAAGAGTCTGTTGATTAGCATTTTAGGATCTGATCTGAGTCGGTATAGATACTTCTTCTATTAATTTTTACCTAATCATGGCTAGTTTTATTATTCAGTTCTTTAGCTTTTGTTTATAGCCATATAGTGTGATTGAACATGTCATTTTGATGATGGAATGAAAGAGATATTATGAATAAATTTATTTCAGTACTCTGGATGCTTTAGTAACTCTATAGTATGTTATTTATTTAAAAATTTAAAATAGAAGATGAAATCTAAAAAAATTAAAACTACATTTTAGGATTCGCCTGCCACAATTCAACATAATAGAATCTATCTCATTAGTGGGTCGTGTCGAGTTAGGTTGTGACAAGCTTTTGTGGTATCAAAGCTGTAGTTTTGGAAATGGATTGTAAGACAGATATATAAGAAATTGATCTGTACATCAATTATGGTAGTTTTGTGTCGGTTTAGGTGTTCATTACTGTTTGTTTTCATGAGCATGTATATTCAGTTGTATGATTATAGATCCTCCAGACCCAGATATAATAGATGGATAGAGTGTCAGTCAGGCAGCTCATAATATTACTTCTTCGACTATTAGTTTTTTATAGAGTTTCATAGTTTGTTAATATGATGGCCTAATTGATGGGTGAAGCACATAGCAAAGTTTTTATTATTAGATCTGATGATGTAGATCGATATTTATAGATGTTTCTAAGATTGAAGCCTCCGAGGTTTGAGGGCACTGTTTTGCCTAGGATAGAAGAGGACTGATTAAGGAGGCTGGAGAAGACATTTGATGATATGTAGTGTCCTCCTGAGAGGAAGCTACCATTATATATTTTTCTGTTAGATGGGGAGGCAGAGTGCTGGTGGATGGGATAGTAAGAGGAGAAGCTTCAGACAAGATTAAACACTTTGATTAGTTGGGATGAATTTTGTGATGTGTTTCGAGCTTGGTTTGTACAACCTTTTGTATTTCAGCAGATGCAGAAGATTTTTTTTAGGCTGACTCAAGGGAGCTGGACTATAATGTAGTATGAGGCAGAATTTATCGCTTTGGATAGATATGCTCTGTAGCTGATTGGCACTCTCACGAAGAAATAATATAGATTTATGAGAGGACTGTTGCAGATCTATGGTTTATGATTTTGATAATAGAAAACATTCTTATTTCTCTACGACTGCCTTACGTACTGACATTTTAGGTCCACACGATCAGACTGCAATTTGGAACCAGCTCAAGATTGGGTAGACTAGGTCTGAGTCAGTTTGTACCTTTTTTCCTTTCTTGAGTCTATTGTATTTATTATGGCTCCTTATGCTTTGTAACGTATAAGAGTTTCTGACTGTTCCCTAGAGTTTATTGTTTTTTGTAACATCGTCCTGGACGATATTTATATCGGCCGGGACGATCTGTTGAAAAGCAGAAACCCTAATTAGGGCATCTTTATTAAAGCAGCCGTCATTATGCAAAACACATCGTCCTTGACGATTTTGTATCGGCCAGGATGATAGGCTCAATTCAGAAAGAATCTGCCACCAGATCTACTTAGGAAATATTTATTTTTGGACATTGTCCTGGTGGATCGGCCTGAACTATAAAATATCGGCCAGGATGATCCAGGACAATTTTTCCAAAATTTCTCTGGCAATTTTGGAAAGCAATTAATGGAGATTTCGTCCGGGCCGATTAGACATCGGCCAGCTTTATTTCAGGGCGATATTTAGGATGATTTTCCTCATATTTAAACTAATCGGCCAGGACGATATGCCTATCATCCTGGACGATAATGTCGGCAACTTGCATTAATGATCTTATTGAGCCCTTCTATTTAAGAGATGACAAGGCACTTTGTAAGTGTCTTTGGCAATCATTATAGCTTCGTTCTTGTGGGAGAAACTTAAAGAGAAAGCTTGAAAGGGAGTGAGGAACGGATGAAGTCCGAGAGAGGGAGAAGATCCAATGAGGGGGGACTCAAGGGAGTGTGGAGGGAGATTCCACACGGTAGCTCCGACAGGCTTGCACCTTAATACCATCGGATTCAAGGCTTGTCTCGAGGGAAGTTCACCAAAGAAGAAGATCTCTTTGGTGTCAAAGAACTCGGCGACTCCGCCGCACCGGGGAAGGTGGAAGTGATTTTGTAAGGACTTCTCTGCCTAGCTGTGGGGGTTAAAGGAGAGACACTTGTTTTAGTGCAATACTTGGAGGGTGCCTCCACGGAGTGGACGTAGGTTAAGGTTTGACGGAACCACTATAAATTCGGTGTGTTCTTTCTTATTATTGCTTCCGCATTTAATTTCCGCACTTTATTTTCTTTGTAGTGATTTTGGTTTGTACTTTGCTTA